AATATTTTGTCAGTAATATATATTTTTATACACAATGTTAAAAGTTTTATTTTTAAAAATTTGTATTATTTAGGACTATAATTATATATAGATGTGCTTTAGAGATTCATTATCTATCCTTTTCTATCCACATCTATCCATATCTTCTATTCTTTTTTACTTGGGATCTTGCACCAACGTGACATCTTGTGTGACATGCCTTAACTATGACATCTTGATCACAGATTTTTTGATAGAATACAATGGTCGTGAAACCACCTTATATTCTTACACCGTGCGTAAAACAAATAACAAATCCTACTCAGGTTATACCTAACAAGTTAAACCTAACAAGGTTAACCAAGGTTCACAAACAAAGTTGTAAACCCATGTTGAACCTCGTTTTGCATGGAAAGAATATGCGCAATAATATTGAGTGTGCAATGTGTATGTGCGCAATAATGTCATGTGTGCAATGTGTATGTGTGCAATAACGTCTTGTGTGCAAACGTACGTTTGTATTTTTAATTTTTAAATGTGCGCAATAATGCTTGTAGGCAATCGCTCTGTAGGCAATCGGGAATGTCGGCAATTAAAGCTGTCGGCAAAACGTTTTGGGCAAACAAAGCTGTTAGCAAATAGGAATGTAGGCAGTTGAGAACCTCCCGAATTATTTTATCATAAAATGAGCTAAATTTTTGTAAGAAATGCTTTTTTCTGGTAACGCAGTTTTGTAACGCAATCGGAATGGAAAGGATGGATGTATTGTAATGGTTTGGTGTCAGCAAACAGCACCATTTGGTATGACGTATGGGACAAATGGACAAACACACCTGATGATATAAAATTTTTAGAGTATTTAACTTGCAGTGAAGATCCTTCAGTTATTTCTAATTATCTGCTGCTGAATTCGATTGATGATTTTTTGTTACAACACAACAATACACGTGCTTATATGTTTCTTCTTACCGTTGCGAGGCATGCAAGAAACGATATAGTTTGCAACTTTATTTTGCAAAATCTCAACAATAATACACTTATGCTCATCTCCAACACGTAATAATAATTTTTTTATAAATATATTTGTATATTTATATAAATAATTGTTATATTTATAATTGTTATCCACCCGCGTCTTTTTATTCTTATTGTCTTTTATTATAAATAATAGTATTTAACGCTTTATTTTTTTGCACAGGCAAGCTGAAATAATTGCAATGTTCATAGTTATTATTACGCATCAACATGCTGTAGAGCAATTAAATAAGGTATATTTTTCTAACTGAATTAACACTCATTTCTTAGCTACTTAAATATTGAGCTTATTTTTATTTGATTTCTCATGTACATACATGTCATACATGTCATACATGTTCAACCGATTACTTTTAACACAACAATTTATGCTCTCATAAACTGTAGTGCAAAAAATTTTAGGTTTGTTGATATTATCGAAATAATTTGTTTTAGGTACTTATATTCGTAAAAACTAATTTGAAAGAAGAGCGACTAGTTTATGCTGTTAAAAATTAAAACGAATAGACGAGTATGGAAGACAAGTTACAAATTATGGGCTCGTCGGTCGATCTCGGTTAAAATAATATTTATTTTATTTAATTATTCCTTCTTAGATTGCAAATTTTTGTTAAAGTAAATATGTGTCTTTTTGGTTTACAATAAAAAAAAAGTACAGAAAATTATTTGTGAACTTTAAATGCTTTACAGTCTACATTGAAAAAAATATCGGTTTGGATGTAATAAATGTTGTTGGGAAATAGCAATGTAACTTGCTAGAAAATAACTTTTGTGAAGAATAAAATAATATATTTACTTATTTATATGGAAAATCTAAAAACATAGCTGTCATACATGAACTAAGAGTTGTTTCTGTCATATTATATGGTGCGTAATTCTTTGCGCGACTATTGGCAATCGCCGATATTTCGAACTCACAATTTCTTTAGTTAATATATATTTCTTGCTAATAAAAATACATTTAGGTTTCGCCTAGAAAAAATCGCTGCTCTTCCGAAATGCTTAATTTATAACTAGTAGCCAAATAAGATTTCTTCTACCGATTCGATGATAGAAATCTTTAACCTTTTTATTCCCACTGTGACTATCCAGACAACACGCATGTTTTAAAGATTTTTGAAAGACGTTATCATTTTCCAGATGTCTCTTAAATGTTTTTTAGACATGTGTGTTGTCTGGATACATATTAAAATTATGAAATAAAATATTCTCATCTATATATTTTCATATCTGTAAACATGTGCTAGTTTTTGTTTACTTGTATATGGTATTATAAATTTAATTAATTTAGCAATTATTCATAATAACTGGTAAATATGATACAATACATTGAACAAAAATCATAGAAATTTATTAAATTTACCAAAACCATTGGTAAATATGTATAATTACCGGCAATTATGCATAATGTCCAATTATTCACACTTCCAGTAATACACGCTCACGCACGCGCGCGCACACACGCACACACGCACACACACATGCATGCATATCATGATTTTATTCTTGTGAAGTATTGTATAATATAAACCGACCGATACAATTTTACATGCAAAATTAATATTTTTTATAAATTTATAAATATTATTCAACAATTTTATTTATCAGTAACTAAAAAATGTACAATTTTGATTTTTATACACATTTAACTGATTATGTATTTAAATTTCTGTGCTCTTTTAGCGACTAGTAAATTGTTTTCCTGTTGCGTGACCTTTTAGCATCTGTTTGCAAGACATGACATATATATATACATATGTATATATTATATCAGTTACGAATATGTTTCTCAGTTCGGAGACTTCTCAGTACAAATAGGATCGCAGTTTGGTTTATATACTTTTGGCATTCAGATTTGTTTATAAAGTAATGTTAATTGTATTATTCTTACAAAATTGTTCATTTCTACGTAGCAATCTAATTGACAATTTTAATATACGTAGGTAAGTGACAAGAAACGAAGTATTTCTAATTCAAAATATAGAAAAATTTATAAAGCATGATAAATACAACTTTATTTTCTTAAATCTCTTTTTGAATAAGTAACTGTATCACAAATTTCTTTTCACTTTTACATTTTTTCCTTTGCATAGCATGAATCTCTTCGTGTATAAAAATTAATTATTATTTCTGCGAAGTAAAAATTAATTTTGTGTGTTTGTGTGGAGCATGCTTGCGTGTATAGTAGATCCCTATGCAATAACGTGGATTTGTATAACACGATAGAAAAATTGTGGCAATGCTGTTATAACATGGTAAAACAGATTCGAATAACATAAATAAATGTAAATAAGTTTACATTTTCACATTCGTATCTCTGTGAATACAAATTACATTTTTATCATCTTTTTTACATTTTTTAATAACGTTTCTTATTAATAACGTTATAAATTGCTTTCTGTCGCAAATTATTAATCATTTGAAGCCTGCTTTATTTTACGGAAAATAATTTCAGATGTCTGTACTAGATTAAACAATAATTTAAAAATTAATGATTTACAGCAGTACTTATTAGGTAAACATAGCGGAATCAGGCGAAAAGTGTTTGAATTTAACATCTATCTTTTTTCCCGATTTAAGGCTGACATATTTAGATCACAATCTGCACATCAAATAAAATTCAAAAAATTTTGACTTATGTCACTTTTCTTGCTGGTGTACGATATATATATGTATAACGTTTGTAACTCATATATACGGAACGTATTATATGGGGGATTACTATAATTAAGGATAGATACTATAACTATTTAGAAATATAATATTATAATATTTTTATGTTTTTCGGATTACTAACACTTTTAGTTATAATTTCTTTTTTTAATTTATAATGCAAAAAGACATTTTTAAATATTTAATATGATAATACTCTGTGAAATTTCTCATATATATACAATACAATAGAATACAATACTATTATTTTTCTAAACACTGTCAGTAATATTTGATCAATTTTACTTTTGTCATGATTTTTCACTTTATCACACTGAAAGAAAGGAACAATAGCAGTAACTGAGTGGACTTCCGAAAAGCTATCATCTCTGATTTGGCTGATATTCAGCCTAAATACTTATTTTATCTAGTAAATAATATTCCTAGATGGATTTTTTACACGCAAATGCCCCCTCCGTCCCTCCCGTGGAGGGGCGGCACCCACTGCATTCACGCATACACTTTACAACGCGAAGCGAGATTCCACATGGGTTTACGACTTTCTACGCAAAGCGAAATTCAATCCAAACCCTATGTGTATAGTATGTGTATAGTTTATTCATGGTTGGGCCCTCCGCAGGAGGGCGGAACACACTGCGTCCAGATTTTACAAGTTGTTTGATAATAATGACTAAACTATTGGAGTTAGATAAAATATGTATAGAACATTATTTGTAGAGCTTTTTATGAGCTTCATTTTTTGTTTCACAACTTTTTTCGTACATTAAATACTTTCTGAAATAATTAACAAAAACAGTTTTACCTTTGAGAAGCGCTGGGGATGGAGGAAGCATTTGCGCCAAAAATCCATTTAGAAATATTGTTTAATACATAAAGTAAATAATTTGGCTAAAAATCAGCCATTTCGGAGGTAATAGCTTTTCGGAAGTTTATCCGTAACTATAATTAATGACGTTTTTGGTGTCAAATATTTTTCTAAATGTTTTATAATAACTACATAATTATATAATTAACTATATGTGTATGGCAACACTATACGTATAAAATTATTATTGCTTACATTATACTAACAATTCCTATAAATTTAAGTATCGTGACTATACTTGTAATACTATGCAATTATAATCCAAAATATTACATACTTTATTCTCACAATCAATGTATCATGGTTATTTTAAAATCTTTTTAATATAAGTTACTGTAATCATTATTACATGCTTCTTTCTGTTATATAAAAATTAAGAACTATGTGTTCCAAATGTATATATTTTATTGCCAACAGACATTTCTTTCAGAAATCTGTTTTTATATAAAAAAAAATAAATATGATATTCCAAAAGCTTTTAATAAATAGCGAAATAATGTTAATCGCTACAATAGCACTTTGCACTGCTATCGAAAATGACACTACAGTTCGTTACCATTTACCGGATTATATAATACCATTGCATTATGATGCCAATATAAGATTTAACTACAAAACAAATTACATTATTGGTGAATGTAATATAACTATAGATATTAATCGTCAAACAGAAAATATAATTCTGCATCCAGTGACTTTCACGATAATTAGAATTGTTTTGTATAACAATCTTCTTAGTAAAAAAGTGGATGTTTCACAATATTCATTTGATAATGAACTAAGTAAGCTTATGATTGATTTTACGACATCAAAACGTCCAAAATATTTACAACCAGGGAAATACACTCTAATAATGACATATGTACGTTACATAAATAATTACAAAAACTACATTTTTAAATCTTTATACTCCAATATAAAACTGGACAACATGTAAGTTAAAAAAGTACTTCAAACGAAATTATACTATAAAAACTATTTTTGCTACTATTCTATTCAAATATATTTATTAAGTACATTCAGAAATCAGATGACATCCTGAGAATTGCGTATTACATAAAATAGTTATAATAGTACTAAAATAAATTCAACTTTACATTTCAAAATTGTCGATTTTAAGATGTAAAAATATGTTATACATTCTCAAAAAATTCCATACAGTGTTATAAACTATGATTTAATTTTTTTTAAACTCAATATTTTTTAGTTTATCCTTAGTCGATCCTTGAGTATAATTGTATTTAAAATTTTATATTTAACATATTGTTAAAATATGACAGGTTAATAGCGACAGGTATTGATGTAATGACTGCTCAACAACTATTCCCATGCTGGGACGAGATAGCACTTAATTCTACCTTCAATATTTCCATCAAGCATCATAAAAATTACACAGCCTTATCAAATATGCCTATACAAACAACAAAAAATGACAAACTTGAAAATGACATGATGTGGACACATTTTGAGAAATCACCTTCAATGTTCATTCAACATTTAAAGTTTGTGATAACCACATTCACTAACATTTCTATTTCGGTTGCAAACGTCACAATTTGGAGTAGAAAAAACGTGACAGACTATTTACAATTAGCAAAATATATTGTTTCACAAGTTCTATACTTTTTGCAACATAAAAATATTATAAACAAATTACCAAAATTAGACTATGTTGCAATTTGGGATACTCAACATAATAACAGTATGACATGGGGACTGATTTTACAAAGGTAATATTTAAAATTAAAATTAATTAATCAAAAATAATTATTAAATAAAAAATATAAAATTATCGAATAATTTAATTTTAAAACTAATAGATATAAATTATATATTTTTATGTCAATATATAAATTAGGAAACAGTTAAAGTCGATAGATTTTTACTTGCGTCACTTTAAGAAGAGATCATTATTTTTAGTTTAGTTCAAAATTTGGGATATACTTCCGAATGACCCTACCCCCCGATCAACCTGAAATTTTACACAAATTTTATTCGATGTAAGGAATAAAATGCGCTCAAATAAAATGGTCCCAACTTCGAAGAATAAAGAAAAAAATTTGAAAAAACTTTTTTTTTCAATATAAGTCAGCATTTATTAACTAAAATTGATTGTATATGATATATACAACATATATAATATATCCACTTTAAATAAAGGCATAAAAGATCGATACTCGAATGTATCGAAAATTTCGAAAGTCTCGAAGCGTACTGTTAAACGCTTTTCCGCGACGCTGATGGTTATCTCGATTATTCTGACAGTTTGATAGTATATATAATATATTATATTATATATTTTTATAGTATATATTTTCTAGTAATATATATAATATAGATAGTAGTTCGGTAAACCTTGGGAATATAGTCCTCAAACAAGTGATGGACAAAAATGCTCAATTCCCATGTATTTTTGCCTTCTGAACACGAATATAATAATAATATTTGGCGGTCGGCCATATTTTGGTCGTCATCTTGAAAAAACATGCAAAAAAAACGTTTTATTACGATTATCTCCGCAACTATTTTCGGTATCAAAAAATTTTTCAAACTAAAAATGTAGAAAATGAGATTTACTACAAAAACTGTTATACACATTATTGCCGTAATTGCAATACTTTACGCGTAACAATAACGTAAAGTTGACCGCTGTGAAAAACATGCATTTTGAAAACTCTGGGGATGAAACAATTTGGGGACAAAAGACTGCTTTCTTTTTGCTAATCTCTTTTGTATTCAATATTCTTAATATAATATAATTCTCTCCTAATTAACGGGGGGAGTTTGGGGGGGCTCCGCCCTCCCGAGTAGATAGAAACTAAGCGCAGACGGGGTGGGTGGGTGCAGGGGGGAGGAGCAGAGCCCCTCCCTCCGCCTGGGAAAGTTCCAGTTGCGCACAGAATAAATCGGACACAGCAAGTTAAATGAATCGGACACAGTGTCAATCGGACACAATAGAAAACGGACACAAGATGGTTGCAATTGGACATGATAATCAGACACGGTAATTATCCAGAATAGCTACATCACCTCCGATTTTGATGTAATTAGGCTCATTCGACGCGTAACAAGGTAACTTTGTTAGCCTTGATTAACCTTGTTAGGTTGAACATTGTTAAGTTCCACGTGAGTAGGATTTGTTAATTTTTTTCGCGGGGGAGAGGCTTTGCCCCGAAGGGGCGAAGCACTCCGCCGCCTACGCGTGCAAATTTGAAACGTTGCAATTAATTTTCTCTTAAAAAAACACGTTGATGATGAAAAAGACACGTAATGATTTTCACTGCCTTTTCGCGGTTTTCGATTGCATGTTTTTCGCAGCGGTCAACTTTACGTTATTGTTACGCGTAAAGTATTGCAATTACGGCAATAATGTGCATAACCTTTTTTGTAGTAAATCTCATTTTCTACATTTTTTGTTTAAAAAATTTTTGATACCGGAAATAGTTGCGGAGATAATCGTAATAAAACGTTTTTTTGCATGTTTTTTTAAGATGGCGGCCAAAATATAGCCGACCGCCAAATATTATTATTATTATATTCGTGTTCAGAAGGCAAAAATACATGGGAATTGAGCATTTTTGTCCATTAATTTTTTGAGGACCATATTCCCAAGGTTTACCAGTAGTTCTATTCAATGTGAGAAATCCGAAGCACCGAGAGGTAGACTTTGCTTTGCGCGATAAGTGGGTTTGCAACTTTTCACGCAAGACAAGGTCTATCCTCTATTGCCCGGGGTTTTGGATTCCAAACATTGAATAGAACTACGATCTATATTATATATATGTAGTATATATCATATAGAGCCAATTTTAGTCGACAAGTGCTGTCTTATATAAAAAAAAATATTTTCTTTCAATTTTTTTTATTTTACTAAGTTGGAACCACGCGCATTTTATTCCTAACATCAAATAGAATTTATGTGTAAAATTTCAGATCGATCGGGGGGTGGGGTCATTCGGAAGTACACCCAAAATTTGAAATAATCATTCTTTACGACAAATCAGAATTTAATTTAGTTTTAGTTTTAAAAACATGTAAAATAACTGTGTTTTAAGTTACACAAATAAGGTGACTGCAATAGAATCTTTCATTACATCAATCATTTCATCGAAAATTTATCAAATTTCTTGTCTTCCAAATTCTAATGTTCTTCTCTTCGTGAAATTATTTATGTAAAATGTACATAATTTCTCTTTTCCAGCTTTTTGAAAAGAAGTCTGTATATGACTTTATAAGTAAACAGTTAATATTACATCGCTTCATGAGCAAAATAAATTGCAATATTTAATAAAATTGCATAATAAATAAAATTTGTCAAAAATCATATTATTTTCATTTATTATGAGATTTAGCAAAAAAATATTAAATACATTTTTTTTAAATTAATTATAAAAAATTCTTGCGTAGCTTTGTAATAATTTGTTATAACTACAATATCATGACTTATTAAATTGTTTAATTACGGCAAACATAGCCGATAAACTTTTCATATTTGAAATCATTTTTCAGAGAAGTTGATATTATTTTGACGAAAAATCAGATCCCGTTGGGCATAAATTGAAAGTGGCACGCTCTCCGACTCAGATCAAATAGTATCTCTTTGGTATAATGATGTGTTGCTGTGGTCAAAAAGAGGTTTTCTTACATTTCTTGCAACGTTTATCTTGAATCAGGTTTTAAATTCTTATTATTAATATACTACATTTGGTAAATATTTAGATTTGCACGATCAGATCCAGTCGTCTTGACCTTGACATATGTTACCAAGGTCACATGTTCTGAGTAACAAGAAAAAAGTTTTAGTCATCACTCATATTTATTAAAAAGTTATTAACGAAAGAAGTTTACAGAAATAGAGCGTAATTTTATAATACCATCTATATTTAATAGAAAGAACTCTTATTGTTAACAGATAAACATTAAAGTGAACGGGAGAGGAATGTGCCTCTCTCTCTTTCTGCATCCTCGTCCCGAGAAAACCTTATCCCCTACCCAGTTCCTATACATTTCGGAGAATAGTTGAGTGCAGAGCGCCTTTTTCTCTTATATTCTCGGACTTGTTTATAATAATTATTTCTGTATTGCAAAACAAGTATATAATGACAATCAATAATGTATGAGTATATGTTTTTTTTTGACACCGAGAACACATAATTTCTCGTCGTAGTGCTTGCATTTGATACAAATAATTGATTAGATTTTCAACACTGTATATCAAATAAAGATATTCATGTAACAACATATGACGCTATGAATTTGTAATAGAAATTGCGTACTTTTCATTAACTTGCTTACTTTATATTATATTTTCTAATATAAGTAAAAGGAAAACATTGTTACATTTTCTTGGCAGAAAAAATTAGAGGAATATTTATTTGAAGTGCTAATTTTGATTATCAATAACTTTCTATATTGTTCAAAGCTTTTAAATGAAAAGTAACAACTAAAACCCATACCCATTCAATTTGCCATGTTTAAATGGATAAATCTACTAAGAGTTTGTTCTATTTGATATACATGGTGTTAGAAAACTACGCTGCATTCATTAAATTTCTTTTGTTAATACGTATTTAATAAATAATTTATTTTATGATAAAAAAACAGCCGAAAAGTTTATTTGCAACGATCAGTTGTGCTGTATTGCTTTAAATCAGTGCTCGGAATTACTTCAGTTTTTCAACCGATTCTCGCGACACACACTTCCTTTTCTCTCCTTACGGCACGCGCTGCAGCTGCTCGAGCTATCGCCGCCGAGCGTTAGGACGCAATCCGATTAATGTTAAAAAATTTAATTAAAAATATTTTTTTCCTTAATAGCAATAGTACCACATGGGTGACGTGGAAATTTATTGAAATATTTCCACATAATAAATTTAAAAACAAAAAAAATATTTTTAACAAATTTTTTTAATTTTTAATGATCAAGGGAGAAAAATTCAATATTAATCGGATAGCGTCACTCCTAACGCTCGGCGCCGCTGGCCTTAGCGGTTGCGTTGCGCGCGATAAGGAGAGGAAAGGAGGCATGTGCCGCGAGAATCGGCCAAAAAACTGAAGTAATTCCGAGCACTGCTTTAAATTATATATTCTTGACTAAATATTTATTTCATTATTTTAAATTTTTCAGATTTCTCCGGATTATGACGTAATGGATTTATTTATTGTTGAAACACAACGGGAATCTTTTCTCTTTGATACTCCTTCTAATGCAATTGAAACGCATTCACTTAGCTATCTTCTAGATCATGTAAAACGTAAGTTAAGAAAATATAAGTAAAATCTTGCGAATGATTAAAGTACAGATAATTAAATAATACTATTGAATAATATGCAAACTTTCAAATATTATATAAAAAAAATATAAAATTACACACAATTTAAAATACAATATACTGACATACATAAATTTTATTATAACAAAAAATTTATCTAAACTTTCAGAAAATATATATTTCAAAGTACTTGACAAGCACACTATAATTTTAATTGTTTCAGCATCAAATATATGGCGCATGTTACACCAGTTGACTGCTAATGTGTTTGGACTGGTATCCACACATATATTAATAACAAACAGTAAGGAATATCTTTTTATCTCTTTTACTAGATAATAATTACAAAAATTGAATGTTAATGAAAAATAATGTACCTATGTATTTAAAATTCTAAAATTCAAAAGGATGAATATAAACTGCTTTAAACCTATCGAGTTATCTTAAATCTACAAAACTGTAAACATAAAGTTGATTTTTGGAGGAAAATTACCAAAACCAACATACCATTTAGTTTTTAGACATTATCTCTTACAATAAGTAAAAAACTCAAAATATTTATTTATATTCCTACTACATAGATACTGCCTTTTATTAAATGGTACTAAATTTTTTATATTATTATTTCTAACATTTAAGAAATTAACATTCTTCTAAAACGCACACAAATTGAAAATTGTATCCCAAGACAGACGTATCTATAAAAAATTGTAGAACATGTTGGAAATAGAAAAATATACTGCAATAAATTGTTAAGTATTATAAAAAAATTGTTTAATATTGCTAATAATATAGCAATGCCATTTTCTTTTGGTAAGACATTTATAAAAAACTAGATAGTAATAATTCAAATCCTTGTTTTTAAATTGGAATTTATTTATGTCAGTTTATATTAATTTGCATATCAATAAATCGTCCACGTTGAGTATATCGGTTTTTGGTACACTTTAATACAGTGCTTGGAATTAGTCTGAACATTTCAGCCGATTTCCGTGGTATACGCCTCCTTTCCTCTCCTTACCGCGCGCGCCGCAGCCGCTAGGGCCAGCGCCGCCGAGCGTTAGGAGCGACACTATCTGATTATGAATGGGTTCTTTTCCCTATTTATTAAAATTTTAAAAATGTATTAAAATTTATTAAAAATAAATTTTTTATTTTAAATTTATTAAGTGGAAATATTTCAATAGATTTCCACGTCACCCATGAGATACTAATGCTGACGCGTTTTTTTTTTAAGTAGTTTCCCCCGTAGACCTATTCCACTAAAGATAAAAATAAATTCTTAATTTAAAAAAAAATATATATAAAAGAGATTTTCTTAATTAGATTTTCTTAGCCTTTTATGAGAATGAACAATTGATGCAATAATGTAGATAGAAACCACTTTTTGAAAAACGTGTCAGTATTAGTACCTCATGGGTGACGTAGAAATCTATTGAAATATTTCCACTTAATAAATTTAAAAAAAATTTATTTTAATAATTTAATAAATTTTTAATTTAATAAATAGGGAGAAGAACCTACTCATAGAACCTAATCAGATAGTGCCGCTCCTAACGCTCGGCGGCGTTGGCCCTAGCGGCTGCGGCGCGCGCGGTAAGGAGAGGAAAGGAGGCGTATACCACGGAAATCGGCTGAAATGTTCAGACTAATTCCGAGCACTGCTTTAATAAAATCCTCCAAATCCTATCGCACCGAAAAGAACAATAAAAGTGATAGTAAAAGTAAAATACTTTCAGAAAGCGATTTGTGTGTGTGTACACATAAAATAAGTTGATATTATTAAAAAAGACAATTATTGTTATTTAGATTACATTCGCCAAAATAGTCATTAAAATAAATATTAAAGCTTAAAAAATTTGATATAAGCTAATTTAGTATACGAACAAATGGGGAATGTACAAACCAGTGGCGCATTCAAGATATTTTTTCGGGGGGGGGGAGGGTTTAAAATTCACACATAAAATGAAACAGTATGATCAAAAGTCAGGATAATTTTATATTGCACACTAAAAAATATAAAAATGTTACATCGTTTAATAAAAAATTACAATTTATTTTTATAGTAGCATAATTATAAATTGATATCGAATTTTCTTGGTTTTTCTTAAATAATCAGATTAACTTGGATTG